ATGGAGTTAGAGTTTAGGACTAGGAAGCAGACAATTTCCACTAAATCGCGTATATTTTTTACCCAACGAAATCGCAAATATACGAAAATGTCACTTCTGACCGTTACATTGATGCTCATATCATAATTATCGGATATATAGCAAAATATATACAATCTCATATATCAAAGAAGGGGATGTTTGTTAGACTGCTCATAATTCAAGAACCGTTTGACTGATTTTCACAATTCTCATCAATTCGCAATGGTCTCTTGCCAGAAAAGGATAAAATCTAAGAAAATCGCGTATAAATATGCCCATAAAAAGTGGATATTTTTGTTACATTTTTACACCTTTTTTTCGTATTTTTTATAGCATGCGATTTTTTCAAATTGACTAACAATTCTGAACTTTACATTTTCTAAAGTTTTTCTACACCCCGCAACACTATGTGTTGAGGGTTTTGTATTCAGGTCGCAATTATCGTCCGATACGCACGAAATTTTGCAAAGGGGTCGATTTGATGATTTTAGCGACATTTTTCACCGGAATTATTTTAAATTTGGTATTTGAAGTTTGAAATGAATACTACAGAAACAGAAACTTGTGTGTGCAGGTCAGAAACTTGTGTGTGCAGGTCCACGTCTTCGTATAGCCCCCATATAACGGTACCTCCCGATAATCGGTATATTGATGACTGTAGCTACCTTATTCACCGATTTTTTTCTAAGTTTCGCACTTGAATATTGTAATGGTATTTAAAGTACGGCTCGGCCTAACTTACAGCTTTTTTATTTGTTTTTAGAATAAAAAATATTTTTTCAAGGATGACCTAAGGCGGATAATTTTTTAAAGACTATAATAAAGTGAATTATAAATATATATTTTTTTAAAAAGTAAATCACAACGATTTTAATATTTTTTCAAGGATTAAATATTTTTTTCAAGGACAAATGGATTTTTTTAAAAGACTATCATAAATTGTAAAAACATTTTTTTAAATGTGTATCACAACGTACTTAAGAAAAACATTTTTTGGACATTTGTTAAATAGCTAATAACAGAACAACGTTTTTTTGACAAACTACCCAATGTGGAATTCAAATAAAAATCAATATTTTTGAGACTACATTTTAAAAAACATCTTATTAATTGTTATGAAAATGTGGACTTAAACAATCTGCTTTTTCTAAAAAAATATTTATTTCAATGATTTAGAAAAGGCAGAGATCACAAAAAATATATAAAGATTGGGTTTAAAACTTTTTTTAAAGATTATCAGAAAAATAATTTTTAAAACATATTTTTAAAACTCCAACAGATGACGAACTGTCAAAAAATAATTTTTTTTAAGGTGGTCACATCGTAGATTTCCTAAAATATATACTTTTTGCCAAGAATATCACAACATAGTTAACAAAATAAAATATATAAAAATTTTCGGAATGCAGGGTCTTTAATATAATATTTTTTTAAAGACTATGAAGACGAGGATTTATTTTTTTAACTCTACAAATGGTCGTTTTCTAAAACAAAATTACTTTGAAAAAAATATTCTTTAAAAAATCTACGGGTGTTAGTCCTTTAAAAAATATTTTTTTAAAAATCCACGTGTCTTAGTTCTTTAAAAAAATCCATGAGAGATCCTTCAAAAATATTCTTCAAAAAAGGAAATTTATAGAGTTCTTTGAATGGGCCAAAATACAGCAGAGCAACATTCAGGCAGCGTGTGACGGTTTCATTGGGCGTTTGAAGGCCATAATTTGTGCCAAACTTAACCAATTCGAAAAAATCCAAACTTATTCTAAAATTTAATGCTATTTCCGACATTTTTCGCTTTCATTCAATAAATTAAAAAAAAGTAAAAGAGCTGAGTACCCTCCACAATTTGGAACAAATTTGGCAGTTTTCAAAAAATAAAATCCGTTAAATATTCTGTAAAAACCTTAAAAATACCGAAGGTTGCCATATATTAGGGTCTATACGACGACATGGACCTGCATAGGTAACTTTTGTCACAAGCTTTTACAATATTCAAATTCGAAACTTAAAAAAAAAATCGGTGAATTATGTAGCTAAAATCATCAAAATACCGAATATAGGGAGGTACCATGGGGGTTATAAAACGTGGATCTGTACAGACAATTTTCTGGAATGGGCTGTAGTATCCGTTACGAACTTTAAATACAAAATGTGAAATAATTCCGGTAAATAATGTGGCTAAAATCATCAAAATACCGCATATCGGGAGGTTCCGTTATATGGACGCTATACGAAGACGTGGACCTGCACAGATAATTTTCTGTCTTAGGCTTTAGTATTCATTTCGAACTTCAAATACTAAATTTGAAAGAATTCCGGTGAATAATATCGCTAAAATCATCAAAATACCGAATATCGGGAGTTACCGTTGTATGGGGGCTATACGAAGACGTGAACCTGCACAGACAATTTCCTGTCTTAGGCTGTACTATCCATTGCGAACTTCAAATAATAAATTTGAAATAGTTCCGGTAAATAATATCGCTAAAATCAACAAAATAACGAATATTGGGAGGTACAGTTATATGGGGGCTATACGAAGACGTGGACCTACATGGCCAATTTTCGATACCAAAAGTCTTGCAGACATAATACACATTTGAGTAAAATTTTATTAACCTACTTCAATTCGTTCGGAAGCTAGAGGGATTTCCACAGACGGACGGGCGGGTAGATGACAGACGGGCGGACATAAAATTTTATGCTGATCAAGAATATATATACTTTGTGAGGTCTAAAATGTATATTTCGAGGTGTGACATACTTAATATACCCTCCATACTATTGTGGAGGATAAAAGAATATAACAATTATGGCGTTTGACGTTGTTGCAGTCTTTTTTATCTCACCCTGTACATATGTCGGCAAAACCTTTTAAAGAATACTTTTATCTTTGATAATATCTAAAAACAGATTCTCGCGGTTGGAGTTTTTTTTTTCTAAGTTCTATACCGACATTTCTTTGCGAGCGTTTCTGCCGACCATTATGTTTCAAGCTTTTAAAAAATATTTGAACTTAATGTTGGTGTCAACAGAAATGTTCTCTTGGTTCGGAATGTCAACTTTAAAAGGGGAAAAATACAGTGGGAATATTAACAAAAACATTGGGGGATATTGTCCTCTTAATTTAAATTACCGACTGAGGTAATATTTCAAAATATCGACATATATCTCGTTTTCTATATTTACACCTTCTATTGCAGTCATTCATTATTTTCTCATATAAAAAACCAGTAAGGAAAGCTCAAAAGTCGGGCGGGGCCGACTATATGATACCCTAAACCACTGTGCATATTTAGTAGAGCTCTCGTAAAAAGGTTTATACAGGGCATTTCAGAGCTCTATGAGATATTTGGTACAAAATCAAAATCTATCTAATTCTATCGTGCATTTTACGAACTATAGCTATCTCTGAACCGGGTTTCTCCAAATTTTACGTATTATCTTCTAGACTGGTGATTTGGGCTGATATTGACCATTTAGTGCACATTTAACCCGAAATCGGATGAAGATATATATGAGAGCTATATCCAAATCTGAACCGATTTCGATAAAATTTAAAACAGCTATTCCTGTGCTCCATCTAATACCTGGTACCAAATATCACGGTTGTGGAGTGAATATTACGAATGTATGGGACTAAAACTCTAAATCGGATGAAACATATATATGGTTGCTATATCTATATCTGAACCGATTTTCACTAAATTTGATATACTTGCTTCTAAGCTGAATTTGGTCCGATGTACTAAAATTCAGTCCATTTGGACTTATATCTGCCATTTGGTGCACAATTAACCCGAAATCGGATGAAGATATATATGGGAGCTCGGTCACATGTGCCAAAATTCGGGCCATTTGGGCTGATATTGGTCAATTGGTGGTCAATTAACCCGAAATCGGATGAAGATATATATGGGAGCTATATCCAAATCTGAACCGATTTCGATAAAATTTAAAACAGCTATTTCTGTGCTCCATCTAATACCTGGTACCAAATATCACGGTTGTGGAGTGCATAGTAGGAATGTGAGGGACTTAAAGATCAAATCGGATGAAAGATATATATGGGAGCTATAGCTATATCTGAACCGATTTTCTCCAAATTTGATATACTTGCTTCTAGGCCGAACTCGGTTGGGTGTGCCAAAATTCAGGTAATTTGGACTGATAGTGGATATTTTGTGCACATTTAACCCGAAATCGGATGAAGATATATATGGGAGCTATATCTAAATTTGATCCGATTCTCACCAATTTCAATAGGGTTCGTCCTTGGGCCAAAAAAATATTGTTTGGAAAATTTCATCTCAATCGGATACTAAATGCGACCTGCATTTTGTTCACAAGAATACATGGACAGACGGACGGACGGACGGACGGACAGACGGACTGACATGCATAAATCGACTCAGAAAGTGATTCTATGAAGGTTCTCAAAAGTAACTATGGGTCTATCTCGTTTCCTTCTCCATGTTACAAACAAATGCACAAAGACATAATACCCTTACCACTATGTGGTGTAGGGTATAAAAAATCTTGCATATCCTTCTTGAATTTTGCCAGTTACTGTATTTTACTTCTTCCATTTAATCACGCCACAATTTCAAGTAGACCTAATTATGACGAAGTGTTTTGCACATCAAGCAATTACCATTATCTGCATGTCTTTCCATAGGAGACATATCACATAATATTCTATGTGTCTTTCGAGGCACATTAAAATCAAAATTCGCTTTTAGAAAATAATGCAAACAAAAGCCGTATGAGTAATAAATTCTCATTTACTTTGGCACATAATAATCATACGCCACACCTAACAGACATATTGTTTACAAACACACATACACGAGAACACTCACATAACCTATTATTAACTTCTCAAGTCTTTAGCCATGTCATATAATTATGTTTTTTTGTCTCTCTCCCGGTCTCTCTCTCTCTACTGCTCTCTCTCCAACACACACATTCATACTCACCAGTACTGCCACATCTTTCTGGCATGATATGGTAAATTGCACAAAGCAAATGTCAAGACGAAAATAATCAACATCCGGACAACGCCACGACGGGCACGTAAAACATTATTGGATGAATGCGAGATATGGGAGACGCGCTGACTGCCACCGCCATGCAGGCTATGATGACTGTTGTGACTGTGATGTAGATGCGACCGGGCCGTGGGAGGGTAGTGATGCTGATGATGGCCGCCGGATGTGAGAATTGTGGCTTGACTCGCTGCTGACGTCTGTTGCTGCTGCTGTTGTGACAAGTGATTGTTGTGGTGGTGTGGATGGTGTTGGTAGAAACTGGTCTTGCGACATGCAGATACCACCGGGCGATCAGCATCTAGAGATACCTAGAGGAGTATATTTGGGGAGGGAAAAAGGAAGAGATAAAAACATAGAGAATCATAGTTGAAAGTTTGGTAAAAAAAACAAACAATTTTTGGTTTTGTTGAAGGAAAACAAAAATTCAAATGTGCTACATAAGCTTATATGTTCAGGACAGAAAAAAGTTAAGGACAAAGGAGGATGAGGCAAGATGTGTGTTAAACTAAAAATTTAAATTTAGCTTTGGTTATTTGAACTAAACAAACAAAAAAGCTGCAGTGTTCGAAATGCCCCCAGAAGGTCTTCTTTGTAAAAAAACTCTCAAGATTGTCTTCGACATAGAGAAGACCTCCAGGGATTATTTTTTGTGAAGTGAAGAACTGTAGAAGCCGTTTCTGTAGAAAATACCTTTATATGGTATGTTATGTAGTGAAGACCTTAAGGAGGTCTATGAAGACCTTCAAGAGACCATATATAAGGCAGACTTGCAGATGGTCTTCTATGCCGGAAAAATGTCCTAATGGTCATTTATAAAGAGAAGACCTCTAGAAGTCATTTTTATACAGAAAAAAACTCCTGATGACATTACAGATAGAGAAGACCTCCATTAAAAAAAAAAACACCTTGAAACGGTCTTCTAGGTAGAACAGTCCTCCCAAAGCTTATCTATATAAATAAGATTCCCGGAAGATCGTTTATATAGAAAGGTCCTTCATATGGCAAACTACCTCCAAATGGCTTACTGCACAGAAAGGCTTCCAGTTTGTCTTTTACGATGAAAAGACATCCAGATGGAAAAATGAAAAAGGACCCTCGATAAGGTCTTCTAGGCAAAAAAAAAATGCATCGACGCAATGTAAAACAGATTTCTACAAGGTATTCCATGTAATAAGATCCTTCGGAGGATTTTTGTTTTATAAAGAAATATGTAGAGAAGACCTCCTGGAGCTTTTCTATATAGGAAATACCTCCAAGTGGTCTTGTATGTTAAAGAGATCTCTAGGAGGCCTTATATGGAGAACCCCATAAGGTCTTTCATATTGGAAAGACTTCTAGACGTTCTGTTGTGAGCAAAAGTCCTCCAAAGACCTCTGGAAGGCCTTTTTATGCTGCAAAGACCTCCTAGTGGCCAGAAGGTCTTTTACGAGTATACAGAAAATACCTCCAAATGCTCTACTGCACAGAAAGACCTCCAGTTTGTCTTTTACGATGAAAAGACACCCGGATGGAAAAATGAAAAATGACCCTCGATAAGGTCTTCTAGGCAGAAAAAGATATCTATGCAATGTAAAACAGATTTCTACAAGGTCTTCCATGTAGGAAGAACCTCCATATTAGCATAGCATATCTATGTGGCAAATACCTCCAAGTGATCCTCTAATGACTACCTTTAGAAGGTCCTGTCTGTTAAAATAAAGACCTTCAAATGGAATTTTATGTAGGCCAGAACCTCAGAAGATATTCGGTACTGGAAGGACTTCTGGACGGTCTTCCATGAGAATAAGTTCTCTTAAAAACATTTTATGCAGCAAAGACCTCGTGGTGGCATTAAAGGTGGAGAAAACCGCTACAAGAAGGTCTAACCTTAAAAAAGACCTAGGTAGATAAGTCCTCCCGAAGGTCTTCCATATAAGCTCCATAAGGTCTTCTATATAGGAAATACCTCAAGGTGACTTACTGCACAGAAGAGACCTCCAGTTTTTCATCTATGATGGAAAGACATCCAAATTGAAAAATAAAAAAAGGACACCCGATAAGGCCTTCGAGAGAGATAAAGATGTTGATGATATATAAAACAGATTTTTACAAGGTCTTCCATGTAATAATATCCTTCGAAAGATTTTTTTCATGTAGAAAGAACCTCCATATTACATTCTTTGTAGAAAAGACCTCCGGTAGCATATCTATGTGGCAAATACCTCCAAGTGGTCTTCTAAAGACTACCTGTCTTTTAAAAAATAGTTTCAAATGGAATTTTATGTAGGCCAGAACCTCAGAAGAAATTCGGCACTGGAAGGACTTAGCTATGAGAATAAGTCCTCTTGAAAACATTTTACGCAGCAAAGACCTCGTGATGGCATTAAAGGTGGAGAAACCCTCCAGAAGGTCTAACATTAAAAAAGACCTAGGTAGATAAGTCCTCCCGAAGTTCTTCCATATAAATAAGACTTCCGCAAAATCGTCTATGTAGAAAGCACCTTCATATGGCAATCTAGATGGCGAAGAACTCCAGATGGTCTTTTATATAGAAAAGACCCCCAAATGGTCTGAAAAGACATCCAGATTGCGTTTTATGTAGAAAAGACCTCTAGATGGCCTTGTATAAAATAACACCACCAGAAAATCTTCCTAGGAGGACTTCTAGACGGTCTTTTATGAGAATAAGTCTTTTAAAGACCTCTTGAAAACATTTTATGTAGCAAAGATCTCCTGATGACATTAAAGATAGACAAGACATCCACAAGGTCTTCATGAAAAACATGACCTTGAAACGGTCTTCTAGTTAGAAAAGTTCTCTCAAAAGTCTTCTATACAAATAAGATTCCCGGAAGATCGTCCATGTTAAAAGGAGGCAATTTGTGTAGAGAAAAATCCAGAAGGTCTTCCATATTGAAAATACCCCCAAATGACCTACCGCACAGAAAAGACACCCAGTTTTTATTCTATGATGAAAAGAAATTCAGGCAAAACAATTAAATAATGACTACCGATAAGGTCTTCGAGAAAGAATTAGACATCCAAAAAAAAAAAAAAATTCTACAACGTCTCCCATTTAATGAAGTCCTTCGAAAAATGTTTTATGTAGAAAGAACCTTCAATTATATTTAGAAAAGACCTTTGGTAGCTCTTCTATGTGAGAAATATCTCCAAGTTGTCTTGTAAGTAAAGTAAATCTCTAGAAGGTGTTTTGTTTTGAAAAATAGTATTGTATGTAGGCAAGAACCCTATATGGTCTTCCATACTAGAAGGTCTTCAATGAGGAGAAGAAGTCTCCCCAATATTTCTAGAAAACATTTTATGAAGCAAAGACCTACTGATGACATTATAGGGAGAGAAGCCCTCCAGGAGGTCTTCCATAAAAAAAACCCCTAGGTAGAAAAGTTCTCCCGAAGGTCTTCCATGTGAATAAGACTTTCCGAAGAGATAATACTTAGAAAGGACCTTAATATGGCAAGCTAGGTAGGGAAGAACTCCAGATGGCCTACTGCGTAAAGGAGATCTCCAGTTTATCTTCTATAATGAAACGACATACAGATGGCCTTCTCTGTAGAAAAATCTCACTTCAGATTGCCTTGCATGAAAATAACAGATGTAGATACCCCCCGGAGTTCTTTAAGGCAGAAAGGACCTCCAGATGGTACTATATATGGGAAAAAGTAGTGTGAAGTAGGTTTTAAGGAATGGGCCAGGATTGGACTTTATTGGTTACTTCATTCACTTTATATGAGATATGTGATAATTTTTAGAAAATGTTAAAATGTCCGTGAAGGTCCAGATATAGTTCACCGGAGTGTTCCACTTTCATACTTCTTCTAATACTGATAATTCATCATACTCCAATACTGAAGGTCTTAAAATCGGGCAGGACCGACAAAATTTCGAAAAAAATTTCACAAAGCTTTTTCTGAGATGTATTTGATATATTTCTATGACTATTGTTGTTACGGAATGAATATTACGGCTGCGGAGGACAAAAATAACAATATATATGGAAGCTATAGCTATATCTGAACCGATTTCGATCAAATTTGCCACACTTATTTTCAGTCCTAATTTGCTGATGGGCTGATATCACAAGTTTGGTGTACATAAAAAAAGGCAAATCGGATGAAGATATTATATGGGAGCTATATCTACATTTTTACCGATTATCTCCAAATTCAATAGGGTTCGTCCTTGGATCAAACAATTGATTTCTGCAAAATTTCATCTGGATCGGGCAATAAATGCGATCTGCACTTCGTTTAGAAAAACACATTGACACACGGATGGACAAGTATAAATCGACTCAGAATGTGATTCTATGCAGATCATCGAAAGGAACTATGGATGTGTCTCTGTTACAAACAAATGCCCAAAGGCATAATACCCTGACCACCTTGTGGTGTATTGGTATGGGCAAAATTACAAAAAAATCGTTATGCAAGTTATGACCGATTAAGGTATTAACAAGTAAAAAAGCAGTAAGTTCGGCCGGGCCGAACATTGAATAACCTCCACCATTCGGAACGAATTTGGAAATTTTCAAAAGGGTAAATTTCGCCAAAAATTGTGTTGACATCTTAAAAATACCGAATATAGCCGTTATATTAAGGTCTGTAGGCATTGATTGTCACAAACCATTACCATATTCAAATTCGAAACTTGAAATAAACGGTGAAAAATGTAGCTAAAATCATCAAAATACCGTACATAGGGAGGTACTGCTATAGCGGACCTATACGAGAACCTGGACCTGCATAGACAATTTTCTATCACAGATTGTAGCTCCATTACCAACTTCAAATACGGCATCTTAAACAATTTCGGTGAATAATGTCGCTAAAATCATCAAAATACCGAATATCGGGAGGTAGGGTAATATGGGGGCTATACGAAGACGTGGACCTGCACAGACAATTTTCTGTCTTAGGCTGTAGTATCAATTTCGAACTACAAATGTCAAATTTGAAACAATCCCGGTGAATGATGTCGCTAAAATCAATAAAATACCGAATATCGGGAGGTAGGGTAATATGGGGCTATACGAAGACGTGGACCTGAACCGACAATTTTCTGCCTTAGGCTGTAGTATTCGTTACGAACTTCAAACACCAAATTTGAAGCAATTCCGGTGAATAATTTCGCTAAAATCATCAAAATACCGATTATAGGGAGGAACCGTTATATGGGGGCTATACGAAGACATGGACCTGCACGGACAATTTTCTGCCTTAGGCTGTAGTTCCCATTACGAATCTCAAACACCAAATTTGAAACAATTCCAGTGAATAATTTCGCTAAAATCATCAAAATACCGATTATA